GATAGGGGTGGCAAGAACTCAAACTAGCTATCCATCGTGCTATGTAAGAATATGTGGTACTTGCGAGACTCACATGTGTAGTGCTTACGTGATTTGCGATTCTAGAGTGATATGTGGTAATTATGTAATATGCAAATATGCAATACTCATTTGAGATATGGTACTAACGTGATATCAGTACTGTGATGTGTGGTACGTACATGATATGCGATACTAATGCGATATGTTGTATGAACGTGATATGCGATACTAGTGTGATATGTGCTATTGACGTGCTATTATGTACTCACATGTAATGGCGTATTTGAGGACGCCTCAGACAAAGAGTCTGAACCAACAGCTGGCACCCTCTCCTCCTCGGGCGCTTCTGCTTCCGTCTCGGAATCATCTTCAGACTCAGTATTTGCTCTTGCCATGGCAACCAACTGAGCTAATTCCTCGTCTCCTACGTCATCTTCATCGATGTCTTCGTCGTCTTCTTCGATTACACTTTTGAACTGGATAAAAATAACAATATTCATCAGAACAACGACAACAAAGTGAAAGTAATAAAAGTAACAAACAAGTTTAATAACAATGATAAAAGTGAACAATCACTTGTCTATCAAGGTGTGGCTGTTAGATGTCAATTTTAGTATTTAATCAAGCACGTGAATGACAATTAATCTTCGTGCAGTTAAACGAGTTAAATCGATATTATTCAAAATATATTTACAATTCCAATGATCATGAATAAACTCTTTGCCTTCAAGTTCTATACATATTTCCTGTTTTATCACTGTTTTTTTTTTTTACAAGCTATAGAGCGTTGTGAAAAGCTAAACCATCAAACATCATGCTTTTCGCTGCAACAAATACAGCTGGTTTAGGACTCGGTAGTTTTTTTTTATTCATCATGAATGTGAAAAGCCAATGCAGAATTAGATCGAGAAAATTACGTGAAGTTAATATGTGTTATGTTTAGCAGTGACAAATTAAGGAAGAAGCATTTAAAACATGAAACGTCCTCCGCCTAAACTCTGGCCCTGCTAGCAAAGGATTACCGAGGCGTAACATGTCACGTGGTCTCGGAAAGCTGGCCGCGTGTGGGCAACAATAGACCTGGTTACAAACATCTACGGATGTTTGATGGAATTTCTAAAGAAAAGCCTCTGCCTTGGAAAAGTAATCCTCTTCAAAAGCGATTTACGGTGGCTGTTAACATGAAGTATTTTACAAGTCGTCAAAAAGCCAGTGACCATAGTAATACTTTTTTTCACCTGAGCTTCAAGTTCTGCGCTGAACGTGTCAGGTTTGCTGTTATCAGATTCAGGAAGCGAGTCTGTCTGTTGAACGATCAACAACCAAAAGGTCTGTTAGGTTTATTATTATATCTTTTTCAAATCAATTTTCAGGAGAGCCTGGAAAAGTTTCATTAACACTGCACCTCAAAATAACCTAACATGATTTATCATTTAAAATCTTAAACAACAATAGATTATATCTTTGGGGTATTTGTGGATAACGAGAAAAGTACTCGTACAGTAAGCGGGTGATGTCACGGTATATAATGATTTTTAGCGTTTATAATTTTGATAATAAACTTAACCTTCACTGACTTTAAAATTTTGTTTTCAATCCTTTTATCGTTTAAGCAGCGCGAGGTTAAAGTTCTATCCAACTTACACTCGGTTTCAATTCAAGTCTAGTGAGAATATGAAGGATAGGGTATTACGAATCGCATCAGCATCGTTCCATTTTAACTCCTTTCAGATTTAAACGAGAGGTTTTAGTACAAAAGAATCAATCATCGTTTACTTGTGACCAATATTCATCTAACAACTAGAAGAGGTTGAATGCAAAATTTCAATTTAGAGTGAAAGTTCCTTTGCCGGCGTTTTTCTAAGAACGTCTTGTTTGAGAACTTAACTATAAGCTCGTAGGTTTAACAGTCGCATATTTTCATGACCTTTGTATCTTGAAAACGAACGAGAATATCATTCTCTTTATAAGTCTAGATTTAAGATACACCTATAAGTTTTCATACCTTGTTATATATTTATCATAAGTTTAGACTTCGCGTCAAAAGTTTAGGCTCGAGAAAAGTAGTTACTGTTCTTTTAAAGGGAAGACTTTCCTTTATCTTTTAAATTTCAATGTTTAAGTTTACTTCCTTTTTTTAGTGTTTACCTTGGTTCTGTTGCGTTTTATTACCAAAGAATTTCTCCTTCTTAAATTTGAACCTTCAGCGAAGTCAACTGGGGTCGGTGTGCTTTTGTCCTCAGGCACAGGTTTTTCGGTGATCTTTTTGTCGTGGAATATCCTTTGCCTAAGAGAAGGTTTTCTTACTAACTGACCTAAATCTTCTTGAAAAATTGTTCGATTTTCAGTATTGAAGCTCTGTATAACCGGTTCGTGAGAAGCAGCGATAACATTTACTTTAAAATCATCTTTTAGCTCTGCCACACTTTCCCTACTGGCGCGCAAAACATTAAGCTTTTCAGAGAGCTGCCAAAGACCTATCCCTTGACCCAGGTTGACCTTTTCGTCGCTTTGCCAGCGCGATGTGGGTAGTGATCGAGTGCGCTCTCCAATAAAATCGTTTCTCCTTCTCACTTGTTCCATACTGTTCCATTTACCGGCTCGAGCTATGGGCGGCCAGGCCGATCGATCACCTTTACTGTTTGAATGATTGAATAACTGTTCAAGACTTTTATGCCTGCACGGTTTTCTCGAAAGACTATTCCGTACGAACGGAGAGTGTGTTAAATTGCTTGCGTTTGTCTCAACGTTTGCCGCCAGGTGTTGTTGTTGCTGGTGTTCATGTTGGTGATGTGTTGGTTGGGCAGGGACTGGGTCGGTCTCCGGGTCACTTTCCCACATTACATCACTGGTGTGTTCTTTAAGTGCCACGTGAAACTCGTGTGGGGTGGCTGTCAGTTTGGACAACTTAGGAGCCTCTTCAAAATGGCGAGCGTTTACCTGGACGTTCAATTACAAGTGACCTTACTATTAGGTTTAATTTAAAACTAAAACAAGTTAATTTCCGGTAAATCTGTTTAAGCTATGCAAAAGTCAGTGAAATTCTAAATGTCCTCCTTACAGGACACTCTAATTGTATCTTCTGTTATCTATTTCTTTATATCCGTATTTATGAGTTTATCAATTCATCCTCTTATTTAATTTGGATTTATTTATTTGTTAATCGTTTTAGTGGTTTAGCTGTAAATCATCATTTAAAGTATAGCGAATATGAGTTATTTTTTAACACTATTTTTACAGTTCGATGAAGGGAGGAAATCTAAAGATGAACAAACTGCACTCTATTTTCGTAAAAGAAACTGACAAAAGGAAATACTAAAATAACTTTGTCAAAATAATATTAGGGATCAAACTCCCGAGTTCTATCAATTCGTCCCCAATAGTTTGCTTAGAGGAATATTGTTATCAGCACCCTGCCTTCCTTTAAACAGCTGCCCCACAACCCCTAATCAACTAGAGAAAAATATCGAATTTCTTGCCTGCCAACTTGTTCCTTTTTTTTGCATGTTGGTGAGTGACAACAATCTGTCTGTCGAAAGAATTAGACGTATCACTTGGCTGAAAGAACCTTCCGGACTAGTCGATACCATAACTGACTGACTGACAGGCTCTCTGGCCCCTGTCTGTATGATTGAGTAATTGACTGGCTAACTGTCTCTCTAATGTCTTTCTGAAAGTGTCTGTCGTTCTCACTGTTTGACTGACTAATAAAGAGTATGCCACTTCCCTTCATGTAACTGTTCGTCTGACTGGCTGGTAAAGAAGTAAACTTAATACTGTCAAACTGACTGTCTGATGAAGTAGATGTGAAACGCCAAATACCGTCACAGTGTTCACGTCAGACTCAGGTTCGTATCCAGACAACTCGCCAGGTTCTTCAGCTTCAGCGCCATCGGCAACATCATCCTCCGACTTGGGTCCCTGCAGACTAAACATGGGTGTAACACGACGATCAACTTACATGGGCAAAAGACCAGGTTTAACGAAGCATGGGCTAAACACCAGGATTAAATAAGGTTAACTTGACAAGGCCTTAAATCCCACAGAAGATAGCATTGAGTAATTCAAATCCCCTTGGAAACTTAATTCGATGAAGACGCCGGGCTAGCTACAAGCGCAGCTGTAATTCAAGTCTGAATCACCAAGAGACTATGCCATCCCGAAGTTGGAGCAGAACTTAGGCTTTGAACTAAAGGAGTTTCAGCCCAGCTCTCTGATTATTTAACCTGGACACTGTGTACTGTAACACTTAAAACATTAATTTAATATGACAAAAGTAAAAAGTGATCCCCAACTTAATTAACTCTTTTTTGTAGTCACATTGTACGAAAGAGTGAAAAAATGTCCTGAATAGCAAAACAGCATACTGAAACAAAAATTCTATTGCTAAAGGAAGGCCGTCAAGCAGATAACAACAGATATAATAACAAAAACACTCACTGGTTAGGAGTAATACTGCGACTGGATATGGAGCCATAATCACTGTGAATGCTGGGATTCCTGTGACATTTCTCCCCATTTCTTCGTGCCTGAGAGGAAAAAAAAATGTACTTATACCTCACCACACTTGAGCACTTTCAAATTGTACTAACGCAAACTGCTGAGACTTTTTAGTGCGATAATCTAATATTCATTTCGATCGTCTGCAAATCCTCGTTCATTGAATGTGCTCTGTACAAATATAGAGCTTAAGGCGTTATGATTCTCTTGTTACTTTACTTAGTTTTATTGCACCCATCGCAAAATAGCACCTAGCATTCAGACAAAAAGATTGCAGAAGAAAATAGACCTACTGGATGTAGCAGAAACAGTTACCTTAGATAACTTGGATGACCTTCTTCCTGTCAAAGCCTGCAACCAGAGTTAATTTTGTTGGCCCAATTAAAAGTCATTTATTGAAGACCTTAAGCACATACATGTACGAGTGATGGACAGCATCAGGAAATGCCGCAGCTTCATTTGGCAATCTGCGAGCTCCACCAAGAATTTGAAAAGTTCTCATTAAGGCGTAAGTACCAGGCTGGGAAACCCCAGGGAGGAGAAAAATAGTACCCAGTTTCCCCCTCACGATTAACCTCCATTATTTCAAAGTAATCTAATAATATGAAAGGTAACGTATTGACGTTGTTAACATTGCTGTAACAGTTATCATTATCTATGTCAATATGCTGGCCTTCGGTGATTTATTAAAAAATGTAATGAAGTCTTAATATTTCCAAAACAGAGCTACAATCAGCTTAAATCAGGAATCACAGTTCAGAAAAACAGATATCAGCGTCTCCACACCTCAAGAGCTGCACGCAAGTCATCATTACTCTCACATAATCTTTTATTGGTTTCCCTGTTAGAAATAAAATATAGAAGAGCGTATGAGAATGGGGTCTTAGCCTTTTGTAGAGGGCATAGTACTTGAACTGAAAACAATCGATTCATTGGCTAATTGACAAATCGACAGTGGATGCGCCTCGCGAGACCGCAACAATTTTAGACCGCTGTGATGACGATTATCGTAGTCGATGAGAACTTTTTTGTACAGACCACGCTAAAACCGGTTTCGCATCATTAAAGATTAGATGCTTTTCATGTCATTTCTCAGACGTTCTTCTCAGACTTAATGAGGTAGATAACTCATGTCACTATAAAAATTTTGTTGTACCTGTTTTCACTGGACTTTATAGAAAGAAGTAACGCTAGGTTTTCGCTCACTGACTTAGCCTGATAGGAACACATGAGCACAAGTTATGCTTCATGTTTCTCTTACTGTAAAATGTCCAGTTGCTTGGAGAATGACTTCCGCTCGGATGACCTCAATGAATTGTACGCTTCATCTTCATCCTCTACGTCTCTATGAAAATTCTGTTTTGAGTAGTGACGTAAAATAAAACTCATTAACTTCATCATTAAGGCCACCATGATATTAAACAGTTACCCTTGCACTTTGTCTTACTTTTTGTCTATCACTGTCACTTTAATTACAAAACAAGCGAAGGAAAGGCACTTTCATCGCTCTTAAATTTAGTTAACCACTTTATACAACGTTTCATAGAGACGGTTATTCCACAACACCGTGCCCCTCCAGGAGATTAGGCGAGAACATACGTTATAATTTATTTCTAATTTCATAAGTGAACGCTTAGTAATTAAAGGGTCAATTCATTTTAAATCAATCACTTTTATTTTTGTGTGTCGAATAAATTTCAGTATCTAAGCAATTGCACACCCACCCCTCCCTTTACCCTAACTTGTCATCAATTAACTGTTGTTGGGGAGGGGTAGGTGTGCAGTTGCTCAGATATTGACAAATTATGCAGTGTGTCATACCGTTTCCGTATCTTGTGTTGTTGTACTGTCAGTGTCAGATGTCTCACTTGCAGCAAAATGTCGTAAACGGAGATCAAGGGTTGGAGGCATTTTCTTACTTGTTATGATCGACGTTGATTTTCGTGCAGTGTCGGTTGTGCATGTTACAGTGGGTGAGAAAGTAACCGAGGCATTCCTCCGCAGCCTGTTATAAGTCCCCCCCCCACCCTTACTTGAATTTCTGTTTTCCTTGGTCCCCCGTATGAAATTCTCTCTTTTATCCTCAGAGTCTGAGTTATGTCCTGTTGCCATTAATCTTTTTTGAGCATCGACAACATTCCGTCCTTTTATACTCTCTTTTACAATTGAAACAGGTTTGTCCTGTGGTTTGCTTGTTCTGCCATCAGGTCTCTTTTTCGAATAACTTTTCCCTTTTCTATTGTCGTTCTTTTTCAGTGATGAATCTTTAAAGTCACTCTGTCCCGGAGACTTATCATCTTTTTTTCCAATATTATCTTTCGCATCACGTTTCCTCAAAAAGTTATCCTTTAATTCCTCGCTTGGTCTGCCATTTTCCTTGTTTCTGGTGTTTTTAGACAGTTTACCGAAGTACTTTCCAAATCGAGAGCCAAACCTTGAGCTGTTTCTGTTTCTCAACAGTTTGTCTGTGTCTTTTTTGTCTGTGTCTTTGGAAACGTCAGATTGTTCACTGTCCAAGTCTGATGTCAAGCGTGCATTGTCTGTGGTTTTATGAGTTTTATCCTGTTTAGTTTAAATTTAATTTAGGTTAATATTCAATTTAAGGAGTACATAGTGGTTGATTTATCATATTTATTTTTTATAATGAACAATACACAACCGTGCGTGAAAGAATTCAACATTCTTCTCCGTTTTCGTTGTTTCAAAGGGAACCTTTTTGATGACATGTTGTTAATCTTAACATGACCTCCGATACATGTTTTAGTCAACACTCGACCTGTACAGTGGAGTATCTTTGTATGGCAGTTCGATCAGTACACAGGTCGTGTATATATCATTTTTAATCATTTCCATGTAGTTTAAGTCGCCTACCATTGAACAATACCCCACAATGACAGGCTCATCAAGCAAGGACTTGTCTTCAATTGAAACATGATCATCCACTTCACACGATTGCCTTGCAGGAGGTAGCAAATGATGTACTTGGCCGGTTTCCCGACTGTTAAGTATGCCTGCATTGTTGTTATAGTCTAACCGCTGTGTGGATTTAGTTTCTTCTTCAGTGATATCTTCTGGAACCTACAAGTTTTCTGCCTTTCATAAGTTTCAAAATTACCAGAATTTAACTCTTATTCAATTGACCAGTGAAGACCGTTTTTCATTTTTAATGAACATTTTTGTAAAGTTTAAGCAAATAGCAATTTATTTATAATTCACTTATTTATTTATTCATTTGTCTATCTAATAGTATTTATCTATTTAGGATTCATTTGTTTATTCACACATTCATCTTTATTTATGCTATTATATTTTCATCGCCCTAAACTTTAATGCAGATTGCATTTCAGCTTTCTGTTTTAGTTTATGTTGGGTTTATGAATTGTGATAAATGTTATTAATGATTGATCAAACCACAAGCAATTTACAATTTCATCCACTGAGCTCATTATCAATGTTTATGTCTTATCTTTATTATAAATTGATGTGTTTACAATGCATATTAACCCCGCATTGTCACTATTCCTTGAGTATATTGCAGCACTTATCAAATCAAAGCGTACTGCCTTTAAACTCACTTTAACTCAAGGTAATTCGCGATCAAAAAATGTTTCTTTTACTCAAATGCACTTTCCCTATGGTCTGAGTTACTAATGAGCAATTTAAAGGTATGGGATGGGGGAGAGAAGGATCGTGGGACAAAACATTCACTTATGGTAACTTAGTAATTCTTTACTTCTGTGCATTTACAATCACTATGTCCCAACTTACTGTGAGCTGCTGAACCTGCATTAACTCCGTCATCAATGAGCTTTCACCAGCAAGAGAATCATCATCAACCTCACAACTCTGTTGACTGGGCAGTAAAGCAGTAGATCCCCGCCGAGAATTACTGCTGCTGTTGGGTAAAGAGGACGCTACATTTCTTGATGGTGTAGTTTGAGCAGGTTTTCCATCCAAACTGTCTACCCCACAATCCCCAAATCCTGAAGAACACCTGCTTTAAAGGTGATCAAAACTGATATTTTATGTTTTGCAACCAAAGCTTAAAAATACAAAAAAATGTGCTCAAAGTGTAAAAATACCCTTTTAAGAGGAGTTAATATTTTGAGACAGAATCATCTTTACAGCCAACAAAAAAATCTCAAAAGAAGGCATAAAATAAAGACCTAGCTATTGACTGACTGCATGTAAGTAAAACAGGCCACAGCCCCTTAATAGAGATCCAAATAGTGAAAAGCTATTTTTGTTAATAGTCTCTTTTGAAAAAGATCACACATTCTTATTACTGCCCATCTCCCACTGACAATGTCTATGGAATACAGTAACTTATAATGGCTTAAAAATTACAGAACTGAAAAAAAGGAAAAAAACAGGTATCTTCCACCAACACATGAGTTTGGTGTTACCTTTGGCTGGGTGATTTGTTGTCTTTCCATGTCATACTTGATGTAGGAGAGTAAAACGTTGATATTGAATGCCTCTTGCTTGGTGATGGGCTTAGTTTGTCGCTATTTTTCCTTGTCTGCAGAAGACACAAAAAGAAAGGAGATGAAAATAATGATTCTGACAAAGGTGCAAAATGCATATGGTATGTTAACAAAACAAATTTGTGATGGACACATAGCAACAAAATCCCAACTTAACATTTGGTAAACTGCCAAACAATTCAATCAATTCATGAAGGCAAGTAAATTAAGGGAGGAAAGAATGTTCATTCCTCACCATTACAGCTACCGGTACATCTGAATTAATTAATAGGGACCTTAAGCAGTCAGGACAGCAACGGCAGGGAAGATGTAACTTCAAAATTAATTGGGTGCATGTGTTTACTGTCTCTTACGGTGCCACACCTTAACCTCAGCACAATGTATGAAAGCGTTGTTGAGTTTCAAATTAAAATTAAAATAATTTGCTGCTGCTGTTTCTGTTCGTAAACAAGCAAATTTTAGTGATTTCACATGGTTGTTTTGCAAAGGAAGGCTAAGAGATGAACATTAAGTTTTACAACCCACGTACTGGCTATTGTTTTGCTCATTAGATCACTTGTTTTGCCACATCCTCGTTACTGTTGCCATCATGGTTTGCTTAAGGTCCCTAACATCAATATCTGAGAAACTGCAGCTCACTAAGAATTTACTAATAACAAGTTAGGTTTAATACTAAATTAGGGGGAGGGGTGGGTGTGGAGTTTGTCAGATACTGACATTAATTACTTTGGACTGTACATCCTTTGGCAATCTTACACACTTTCTAGGGTTTGTTCATAATGAATTTTTGATAATTGCTTCTAATAAAAACCTTTTCTATTAATCTTTGCACAACAGATTAATCATATGAAATTTTTTAAACAATACCTCTAGAGCTGCCCGCAAGTCATCATTTGTGTCATGAAGTTTTTTGTTTGCCTCACTGTGAATAAAGTGAAAATTAAGATGACTAAATTCTTCACAAAAATGAAAATGAACACAATCTCAACCATGTGATGCAATATTCTTGACTGAACATTAAATAATTAATTAGTTCAACACTCTATTGTTTCCATGAAGTGCAAAGAAATTCTTCTTTCAAATTTATGCTGATCATCCATTTTAACTTACTCTCAAATACATTTATTTATAACATGATTTAATTAATATGCATCACAGCTAATGGACCAAAATTAACTTACTGTAGTAACTGAAGCTGCCTTGTCAAACTTTCTTGTTCTTGCACACATTCCAGAACAGTTCTCTTTTCCCTGGAAAAATCAAGAAATAACTTCAATCAAACCACTGACAATGAATAACCCTCATGTTTTTTTCATCAAAATTTCTATGTGTTCACTGTACCTTTTGAGAAAATGAACACACATTGTTTACACACTCAGCAGACAGGATTCCTTCCTAGAATTGTGCAACAGTTTTGACAAGGGTCGGTGGCTTGACGTGTACAGGAACAACTAGAGGTGACTAATTACTTATTTCACTGAAGAATCAGTGGAACAGCCTTGTGGAATATCCAGCTAAACATTAAAAAAGGAATTTTGAAAGATTTTTTTCTAGTCACTTGATACTTTGAGAGTCTTCATAGGTTAATAGTTTCTGGAGCCTTTTGTATCTTCAGTCTGTAACTTACGCAGTAAGCTGGGATTCCTGTTCCTCATAATCATTTCTAAGCTGGGCAAGCTCACTTCGCAAGACAGCTAAGTTAGTCTGGGCATCTGTCAACTGACTCTGCAGATATCTTATCTCCTACACAACAATAGAAAAAGTGTTTTTCAAAATACCACAACCTTTTCTGGCGACCAATTCATACTAACACTTCAGTGGTGACTAAAACAGTTTCCTCCTAAAATTTTGTTGCAAACATAGTCAAAGCATCAAAGTATCAATTGAAATCAAATAAAAATGAAATCAAAAGTACAGACATCATTAACTTGGTAAATAATCTGTTCCCTAAAGAGTTAAACATTCTAATCTGTTCATGAATACTTGTACATACACCTTTAAGGATCAAAAATTTAGAATTTTAACAAAGTGAAGTAATTATCAGCATTACTTGAACTTTATCATCGACTTCTTCTTTGATCTTTTGTTCCTCAGGTTCCTTTCTCTTAAGCTTTCCTTCAAGCTGCAAATAAATCAAGCTTAGGATTAGCTATCAGACCAAATTTATATCAATACTAAAGTGGGACTTTTCTTGCTTCAAACATTACGAAATATTCGGACGAGACAAGCTTTCTTTTTTTTTTCTTAAAACACGAAGGCGCACTATATAAGGAAGTCTTCCCCGGGAAGACCTAGTCTCATTTGTCACTCACCGTTGACGTGTGCGGGTCAAATTTAAATGCTGGTAGACCAACAAAAGGAGCTAATGAGATATCTATTGTTTACTTCCATCAACATGGTGGCAATGAAGTAATGTGCGAACCACCTACTTTGATCTCAAATTTACCGCCACAAATAGAGACAGCTTCCATTGGAGAAAGGAAATACAAATCTCAAAAATTCTTGTATTGTGATGAAGACATAAAACAATTTTGAGGAATGTGTCCCCTGTTCACGGCTTTGGAGTAGCTGTAGCTCAAGCTGACTTGACTCTAAGAGTTCTACATCACATGACGGTTGATTGACAAATGGTCCAGTGGGACCCTAAGGCTCCTTTTATAGTATGCCTTCGTCTTTAAAGGAGAGGTACATTCAGCAACTCAACATCATAACTTTGCACTCACACACACTATGAATAATTCTTTTTTAGGCCCCAACTGTGTGTAATTGTAGTACAAACAAAGACGGTTCCATCGAGGGAATAACCATAGTAAGCGTGCTAATGTAATATGCAAAGGCATGTTGCAACATAAATGAACTCCTCAGTATCATATTTTCATAGTGTATTTTAAATGATCAGCTAAACCAGTTGGTGGTCATTTCATGTGCATACCTTTTGTACTCTTGCTGTTAACGTTTGTATCTCTTTATTTTTATTTTCCAGTTGCCAGACAATATCCAAGTTAGACCTTTCTTGTTTGCTTTTTTCCTGGAAAATAATTTTAAGAAATTGATTGGCAAAATTTAGACGTCACCTGAGGATAAAAGCATACAAAGATCAATTTAATCAAAACCTAAATTCACAGCTTTATTCACAATTCCAAGAAACTAACTTTAAGTGACTAGGTTTAAAGTATATTTCTTTTTAATTAACAGTTTGCTGACCACTGGACCATGTTACTTCATCTTATAGTTATGTATTCATTAAAAATAAAGAACAGAAAAAAAAACCAATTGATATTTAAATATCGTTCTCGCAAGTCAATAAATTGGTCATATCAGTTGCACCAGTGAATATTTCTGTGTATAATTAGTTGTCTAACCTCCTTTCTGATGCGTGATTCAAGTCTTTGCATCTGTTGTTCAAGCTCATTATCAAGTTGATCCATATGCTCTGAGTGCTTTTCACATGTTCTGGAAGGTTAAGCATAGACTTCATTACTTGATGGATAAGAGTGTAATCTTAAATAACATTTGACGTCTTGAGTGGTCTATCAAGCCAGTCCCATTTCCATTCAACAAGAAAAAATGGCCACATCAAAAATAGCTCTCATTAGTTCACCAAGGTTGGTGGTAGAAAAAAAAAGTAGGGCAAAACAAGAAACTTGGAGAAAGCATAACTTTTAAGTTACAATACCAAAACCTGCCTGTACAACATTGTTTACACAACACTAGAATGGGTTTGTGAACTTTGAGGCCAAAACTAGAAAAAAAAAATTACAATCTGCCATACCTCTTGAGGGCCTCCTCCAGCCGTTGATTCTCAGAGGAATAATGTTTGACATCCCTAACAACACTGAACAGAAAACTCTCCAGCAAAGCTATGAGTTGCGGTGATTCACTTGAGTTATGAAGGCAGTGAAACAAATCAGACACATACTCTTGGCTGGAGAAAAATAAGACAGGCTATTACACCATAATAAAGATAAAGACTAATTGTTTTTTACTTCAGATAAAAATCTGGTTAAAGGTAATGAATAAAAATCAAATATAAATCAATTTATTTACACTAATTATTATTTGTGACCCTCTTTGGGAAAACAGACACTAACACTTTTCCAATCAAACGGTGAAACTATTTACTATCCATTGAAATCAGTTTAAACCTGTTTGTGCAAGCATATAAACATTATACTTTGCTTAATCTGTTTACAAAAATTGCATCATTAGTCAGTAGCCTTTATCAAGCATTTCCTATGATTAGCACCCTTTAATATTAATCGATTTTCCAGCATTTTAATCACCAGGTTCAGTTGTACCTTTTTATTCTACAATGTACATACACACATAATTATTCCATGAAGTGGGGCCAGGACAAAAGAAGGTTGATCAGTTTGAAAAATAGATTCCATGTTGCAGCCCATCTGTTGAGTAATACATGTAGACCACAGAGGACATCAAAATGGGGTAAGAACAAAAAAGCAGTACATGAGGTAAGTAACTGGGTAAGTAACTGATGTTCTGCCACTTTTTGGATGAGTTGTGTGATCTCTACTGTATAGACCCAGGGTAACATAGAATCTACTAGTTTTGTATGAAAAAAGCCAAAATTTCGTTAGTGGTGTAGCAATATACATGAATGTCTTCCAATAAATCATAAGTAGGAACCAGTCAAATTGTATGTATAATCAGGTCAATTGGGTTTTTTGAAATTATAAAAAATAAAAAAAAAATCACCTACATTATCCAGGTAATGAGAATACTAAAACTTATTAGGTTGTAGCTGTTACCTTGATCTAACGCCACATTCTGGTAACTAATGTACAAGGAAATGCGTAGCAGTCAGAGGGGAGAATTGATCGATAGTCAGATCTCGGAAGTTAGGTCTCTTGTCTTTGCAATATCAAGGTGAGGTCCATAACTGGTCAGCAGTTATTTTACAAGAAATAAATAGCAAAATGGCGGCAAAGCAAAGCGACAGGTGCAGTAGTCAATGGACTTTTACTTCACAATAAGGTGAGTGAACTCTCCGATGATTTTTTGAGTTATAAAAAATATAATATTCAGACAATAGAAATGTGTCATGTAACTGCTCTTGAGTTACGCAACACAATAAATTGATCAATGGAATTGTTTTACAGTTTAGGTTCGAAATAACAAATATGTAAATAAATACTTCCAAAAGAACTTAAATCTTTGATAATAGCAAAGTTATAAAAATCGAATTTGTTGACTTAAGAGCACGCTTTGTTCGCCATAAAACGATTAAAAACATGTATGTTGTCGGATAGTCGCCAAGACTAGCCATGAAGGTTCCATGCAGCTACCGCGAACTAATATCACCGCCATTAGTATAGTGTTAGAAATGCCTGTGAGACTTAATATACATAAAGACATTGTGCAGATAGTCTTTCGATTACCTGTTATTGAGCGAAAATTCTCCTTTAATCCTTACCAACGTTGCGTAATATTACAACCTAGAACCCAAACTTCCTACCGAGTCACTTTGCGAGGAGTCGAATGCTAATCGTGTTCTCTCATGCTTAATTTCGCGTAAATTATTTTGAATACTTCGAAAATATCAATTTAAAACTCGATCTTTCTCCTAATGTACCGAATTCTTTATCAAATTCCCAATATTCACGTCTTTAAGGTTAGGCTTTTCTAACATTTACTTTCATGCGAAGAGATATCGGTAGCGACTTTGGAATATTTCTTTGTAGCAAGACAGTCGAGTATGTTAACAACAAACGTGACTTCATATACCTCATTAATGATTGCTCAAATATCATCTGGATCTATTCCATAGAAGAACAAGATCTATATCTAAAATGTTACGGAATACCAGAGTACAGTCGCCCAAGCTTCAAGAACGAGGAAGAGCATGAACAGTAGCTTTAGGTTAAAAATTAACTTTTGACACATGTTTTGATTGCGCGCTATAAAACCCAGTCATCCAAACGTTTCCTTGTTTGTGCTTCCCGCACGTACATTGTTTTACCAAGACATCTTTAAGACATAGCAACGATTAAAATATTGCTTTTACTGATAATCGTTTAGAGAACCAAAGCTGGAGATAATAACCAATATTTACCCTGATAAGAGCTCCCTGACTCCTAATGCGTCGAGCAGTTTGTCGAACTTTTTTCTCTCTTTCTCCGCGATAGAAAGTTCCTCAACATCCGCCTCGAACAACGAGCAAACACGTTTGAAACCTTTCGAAAAATCCAGTAAACTAATCTTGTTGTCTTTGTCCACATCAAGCTCATTGAACAAATCTTCGATTTCTAGCTTTGTCAAATTCAACTCCGCGCAACAACATGCTAGTTCAGGCTTCTCGATGAAGCCGCTCTTGTTTAAGTCCCAAGATCTAAAAATGTCTTTGACGGTGTGCTCAATATCGTCATTTACTTCTGAATCCATTTTACTTCATTGTTGAAAAAAAATCTTGAATCAAACCGTAAGATATACGTTGGTCGCTTTCGGCTAAAGGCGTCGTGGATGAAAATTTTTTTTTCCTAAAACGATGCGTAGACATTTTTGCATAAGAATAAATATGCAACAGGTTGGCTGCTAATTACAACAGCGCAGACAAAGCAATTATGAAGAGGACACCGTCGAATGTATAGTCACGAGAGTCAAGGATGCTTGAAGACGCAAACGTCAATGAACACCCACTACTAACCTCATATGTGGCAAATTACGTCAGGTTATAGCGATAACGGACCTGTTAAGTCGACGAAATAGGCTAATCTGTACTGAGCGAACATATAGTTGAACGCTTTTGCGCCAATTTAGCGGCACATTTCCCTAAGCCACGTATTGTGTTCGAACAAATCATCTGTGTAATTGGGTGTTTCTTAATGACGACTGAAAGTTGCCAGTGAATTCTGTTTTGCCGGTGATAAAAATTGATTATTTGAGCAGTGGTGCGCTAAATCGCTGTCAAAATTAGGGTGAATGATCGCAGAAAATAATGCATTATAATAATTATCGATATTGAATTACTGAAGTTGACCATTCAAAACCTTAGCTAAAATTAGGAGGTTAAGGGGTAAATTAACGCAGTAGCACTTTAGTTCAGACGCAATTTCCGCATTCTGTAGGAGAAAAAATTCGCATAATCGCGTTTCTCGTGAGTTTCTTAGCTGCAGTTTATGGTTTCATCTCAGCAGGAACAATATCACAGTATTATGAAAGGAATCTTGTCGGATCAGCTGGGTAATCTTGTCGGATAAGCTGGGTAACTTTTGGCGGGCTGTGGCGGGATGTGTTTTGTCCCAAGCTAGTTAATACCTGTTGGAATGTTCGACTGTAATTGCTTTTAAAAGTTGTGTAACACCGGGAGAAAATTGGTCAGTCCTTAGTTAAAAATCATTCGTAGCTATTTACTTCTCTCACAATATCGTTATTTACGGAGGACACCTTTTGCAGAATTCATAACTGGTATTGCGATAATGCTAACCAAATCTAGAGAACCTGAGCTATTTTCCGAGTTTTATGCCAAACTATATCGGAATGGAAAAAGGGAATGTTTCGTTTTTTAAGTGAAAAAATAAATAGCTCTCATAGCTGCCCAGTTACAATAGCATTAATTCAGCAAAAATACTTTCCAGTAACACTTCAGCGTAACTGAGTTCCGCTAAGAGAAGTTGAATGTGACTTTACGCTATACATGATGTGTGTGTCCATATAATTGTGAGATCTTACTTTGGAAGGTTAACAATTTCCTTTCCGGTCTTAAAATACGAATTGACAAAGTATTTTTAAACTTGCCAATCACGAACTATCCACAGGGTCAAGTGTTTTCGATTTTAAACTAAATTTGGCCTCAATCAAGTTAAATCGTCTGCAGAAATATAATTCAGTACGTCCACTCAACATTGTTCATCATTCGGCTGAAAAATTTAAGCGAATAGATAAAAGAAACATTACACTCGTCTTCAGGTTCCAAGAGTTTGAGTTCTTTTGTAAAGAGAAGTCATAACCCCCTGTCACGGTGTTTTGAGAATAAGTGATGAAAACCTTCCATGGAAGTAGTAGACAATAGAAAAAGTGATTGGCTTTTAAGCTTTTGAAATTTGTTTGGTTCTATAACTTCAGTTCTACGCCACGGGTCAGTTTTGACTCAGCAATGAATAATACCTCATTGACGAAATAAGCAATGACGGAGGATCGTCAGTTACACGAACATCGCTGTGATACGTAATTCTTCATTTTGAGAGTTGAAGTTGTACTTAAGGAGAGAGTTTGCAGTAAAAACATTTGAACAAAATAAGCCTCTTACAGTGTCTAAGCGCGGTCTGACGAACGATACGGGTCAGGGGTCCGTTTCTCGAAGGTCCCGGTAATCTAATGGGCCGTAGAGCTATTCTGTTTTCATTTAAGATGGGTGTTTCAAAAGTTTATCTTGCGATGTAAGAGGCAGGCTAATCAATTGTGTATTGATCGCGACGAAAAATATGATTTTGAACGAAACGGAAATTCAGTCAAAAAGTCTAATCTGAAGCGACATTACCAATAACACGTTTATATCTATATTATCTGATTTCAAAATGAACAAGTTTAGCGCTATGTTTTAATTTTAAACAACTCTTTCACAGAGCGAGAAATTTTCTCATTCCAACTTATCAAGCGCGCCAAGAGCACCCGTGTTTAAAGCTTTTAAACACGAAGAGTGACCAGAATCTAATTTCTCCTAACTGTTATACCGCTGAATCATTTATTAGCATCATGAAAATAGAGGAAGTGATCACCAACCTATGAAGCTTCGATTGATAAACGAATTTTTCTTGTCAGTACTTAAGGAAACATATTGAGAATATAGATACTGATGTTGTAAAGGGCTAGGACATTACCACTGATCATGGATAAAAAGGCAGGGATCTACACTTGTGTCAACGGGTGTTTCTTTAATTTAAAATCTTAAATTTATAGCAAGAAAAGAATGATTATGTTTATCGTGTAAAAACTCCCAGTAACCAGCTGCCCAATGTGCAACTAAAAGACCGTCCGACTTTGACGTTTTTTTTTTTTAGAAAACAAACTAACTTTGCCTTTTTTAATTGTGTGTTTGCTAACAGGCGGCGTTGTGTCATTTGTGATCATTTAAGTGGTAGGCACCTGCTGAGATGAATTATTGAATTCAAGACTCCAGTGCTAAACTGGTACAATTCCTTTTTTGGGGGGTCTTTTTTTTTTTTGCCAGAATTGCTCCTTAACTTAAAGTGTAAATTTTTGAAGAGACACTATCCTGAATATAGTATAATATAGTAAAGATCTTGCCTTAGCGAAAGCTGCAGCGTGACAATTACGCATCAATTTTTCGTCAAGAGTACTTTTTTAATAATATGAAAAATTGACGCTATATGAACTTTGTTTTCATTTGTCTCGCAGAGAAAAAAAAAAGGAAAATTTTAATTTTTAAAGTGGCTCGGTTCTGCAAGATAAATTCACTTTGATCGTTTGGCGTATATCTGTTTCAGACGCTGATTTTGATTATTGTAACACTTTGTAATCAGCATTTTTTGCATGTAAACCGCCGGTTTATTTTTGAAAAGAGCATGTATCCAGTTAAATGATTTTTGTAAATTAAAACTTAAAGTGACAGAGAGAAATTTAAGTTTCATTTAAGATGAAGATAGAGAATTAAGATGACCTTGGCAATAAAAATTGCAGATTAAGCTGCATTTTAACCCAAAGGTGTCCAATGATTTGATGGTTTTTTTTGTTCAAGTTGTTAACTTATGCCAGACCAAGAGGTATAAATGAGTTAAGGACACATTTGGTATAAGGAAAAACAAGCGTTTACTGTGCATAAACTGAAAGAAAACAAAACGGGCTAAAACTGGGAAAACCAAATTTTGTTGAACTAACACCGCCCCATGCAGTTTTTACCTCCTAGCTGTGCTCAAGAATTGCCCTTAGCTTTTCACATTCTTTCCAAAATAGAGCGTTTTCTTAGAAACCAAACTTGAGTATCGATTTGATTTTTGCATTGACATTTTAATGGAAATAGTTTAGTTTGAATAATTTCACGGAGACATGGAGTTAGTGGGAACTCTTCCAGCGGCGAAGAAATGCGGAATATCAGCGATTTTTAGTCGAGTTGAATTTTTCAATCTGTTTCCACGCTACGAAACTGTCGGGAAAACATCCATACTGATGATTCACAAATAATATGTAGGGAAAGAGATTGAAAGTCGAGTTAGTATTTGCTGGTTTGCCTTAAATATTACGATAACTTCAAAGAAACTCGAGCATCGAAATAAAGCCTCGAGGAAAAAAAGGAACAGCAGAGCGAGGGAGATTTGTCCAATAATATCAAATACAGAAACCGAGTGAAATTGGTCAAACTTCATTTGAATAATGTTTGCTTTTTCTGGGAAGAGAGCATGAATAATAAATACTTTCGACACAGATAATGTGAGAGCTAAAAATAAAACACAATTTCCAGACCTTTCACGTTTTCTACAATGTAAGATATGTGTACCATTTGCGATCAAGATTCAGAGCGATTTGTAGCATCGTTATTTTCTTTTTTTTTTAAATTTTGTTAGAATCTCTTTTCTCGAATTAAAGCGAAATCCCAGATGTGTTTCAGTAGGGCCACAGCCGTCCCAAAATTTGATTTTGTAGGACGTGATATCCTGCACTGATATTTTAGTGGTCACATTTTTTGGCCATGAAATTCGTTGTGCGTGAGTGTTATCCATTTTGTAAAAAGATTAAGGTATTCTCTGTTAGAAAACATCCCTGGCTCTCTGGCACAGAGAAGATTAACTAAACTTATGACATAAATTGTGTCAAAGTAAAATTGGAAGCGACTAGACGGCGTTGCTTTTAAACGATAGTTTTATATTTGTTTTGTCGAAAACAATTTGTGGAAAACGTTGTTGACAGATTCAGTGGATATTCGTTTTTGTGAGCATGTATGTTATATCCGACCTGATTTGACCCTTACTGACATTATGAAAGCAAGTTAATATATCCAGATTTGATACATTCTGCAAATTAGAAGTGAAGAAGCACTTCAAGCATGGGTTAGAAAGGTTGTGATAATTGCCATAAAACTCACCTGCGTACAAACTGTGGTGTATTTTTGTTGTAAAAGAACAGCAAAGGACTACCATCCTTACAACAAAATCACGTGAATTTTTCGTAATTTTGTAATTGAGACTGTTTTGCTTTACGGCACAAGGTAAACTAGCAATATCAAAGATAAATCGTTTATGAATTGCTCACTTTTTGCCTAGTATTAAGCAGCATTTCTTCATGACTTCTTGTCGAATTTTCGAAAGAATTAATGAGTCGTGTGTTTTACTCCACCTTGAGAACTGGATATCTCCAAGAGAAATCCTCAAGTTACTCTTTTAGGTCTTAAGTGGATGCTCAGCTAATGGTTGTATCTGCACGCGAGTCGAATCAAAACCTTCACATAGATATTGTCGAAAGGTTGTCACTGTTATTCGAAGCGTGGCTTGATGCTGAAATTAAACGATTTGTACTCGATACTATTTGTAATTAGCGGAGTTTTAACTGGATAATACAGAAATACAGTTGGTAAAATAAAAAAAAAAATCAATCATGCGTGAACGCCGGGTTGATTTCTGGGTGTATGTATTTCTTTCTGGCAATAACGTAAGTTAACGCAACTTCTCCTTCTCAGGCCCTGGCAAGCCTCTTCACGATTTTCTATGAAGAATTCACTTACCCACTTAGTAGACTAAACTGCTCTCCCAGTCGATCTGTCAGGTCCTCGTAGTCCACATCAACAGATGAAGATCGGTCAGATTTTCTCCTTTTCACTCCCGTCACCACAGACTTGAACTTTTTGAAATTTTCCGAGAATTCCTCGATGCTTATTCTTCCATCCTTGTCTGCATCAAGTCTATCAAAGACTTCCGCTAAATCGTGAGCGTCCAAGTC